GCAGTAGACACAAAAGCTGTTTTGTGTCTTCCTTTTAATCTATTTCAGGCTTTCTCACTTGGCATGGGCCAAGCAAATGTCAGCCGTGGGCTTGTCTCACGGCCCTAGAGGTCAGCACATCTTTGCTTGGAGAAGAGATGAAGGAGAACTTCTGGGTATGGATTGGCATGGAGACAGTCCTGCCCGGCGTTATCCCTTCACCGTGGAAGGCAGACAAAGAGGTGGAACGTGTGTGTTGGGGATTACCTTCAGTTTTAACAGCCAGCGTGATGTGCCGCGTAGACTCACACGCCTGATATCGGCATCAAGGGCAATAATTGCTAGTTATAGTGCACAAGGAAAGATAAGGAAAGATGATAAAATGATACTGCTTCCATTTCAAGGATCAGTTGTTGGGGATGAGAGACAGACAGGCAGACACAGACACACAGAGAAAAACAGAAGCAGACACTTTACCACTGGAAAATTTGACAAGAACATATGTGTTGGGATTTAAAAAAAACAGCACACACACAAATAACTATGCACGCGAGCATAGTGTGTGTGTGTGTGTGTGTGTGTGTGTATGTATGTATGTGTGGCCATGTTGAAGTATGGACAGCACACATCCGTTATTTGAAAGCCCTTGGGGATTATGTGGCTTCTGGCAGGAAGACAGAGTTGGAGCAGAGGCAAGCAGAATGGGCTCGTGGGTCAGACAGTGTAGGGAGTTGGTATGAAAGCCCAGGAACACAGGAGAAGGTTTTGGTATTGTTGCGGCCGGGGCAGCAGAGTAAGCTAGAGCTACATGGATATGTTCAACTGTCTATTGAAATAACAGTGGATGGATAAGAATAAATGACACTACTAAGCTGAAGAGACACACGAGGAAACTGCTTTCTTGATGATCGTGATGGTTTTACGAGTGTTGGCATGTTGTGTAACAACTTTCCTGGGGAGACAGAAGCACATGTCTACTTACCTCAGAGGGAATCCGTGACAAAGCCAAGTACAGATGCCACCAAAGTCCATCTTGGGGAACTGGTGAGTTTTATTGAGGCTACTTACAGGAATATGGGTCAGTTACAGGAGCGCAAATAATTCAAAGGCAGCTGTATCACCAAAGCCCATCCTAGAATGGTGACAGCTCGAAAAATTGGGGACCTGCAAGCAACTCAGCAGGTTGGAGAGGGTCCTGTCCGGGTGCTTCAGTTGGTCTAATCCCCTTTGAGGCAGCTTGGCTGGTTTCTGCTTCTTCCAGGTAGCTGGTCTGGTCTCAGAGCCATGTTTGCAGCTCGGCTCTCCTTGTGTCTGAGACTTAATGTTTACTTTGGCAGAGAGGGACCTAGAGAATCGGGCCAGTTTCAGGGATTTCCCTAAGCTGCTCCGAGTTGTTTACCCTCCTGTGCTTAAGGAGCTTCCTCCATGATGGATTGTTTTAGTATCAGAGGAAACTGTTCCGCAACAATGAGGACTATCAAAATATATCAAATTTTGTGTCATTTGCTGAACTCCAGTAATACTCTACAGCTTTGAGTTTGGAGTTCATGTCCTCTGAGGTCTCTCGTATGACATGCACAGTGCGATGGTTTTTAGTGTGTCACAGTTTATTCCATAACCCCAGAAAGAGCCTCCAGCTGTCACTGGCCACTTCCCCTCCTCCCCATCTCTAAGAAACCAGTTGTCTGCCTTCCTCCTCTGTGGAATTTGGTATTCTAGACATTCATACAGCGGAATCAGACAGTGGCTGGCTTCAGTTGTTTGGCAGAGTGTTTTCAAGGTTCATCTGTGCCGTAGTGTCTTTAAATGTTTCCTTTATGACAACTGGCAGTTCTTTGTAGGGGGATGCTGTTTTCTTCGCTCCTCAGCTGATAGATGTTGAGGTAACTTCCACTCTAGGCTGTTGTGAATGACTTGAATCTTTACCACCACGTTCAGGAAAGCAGTAACTTTTGCATTGTCTTTGATCTCTTTCTTTGCTGTTTGTGCTTTTGGGTGAGCAATGTGAAACAGAGGTCTTTCACATTGGGGTGGTTCTAAGTCCTAAGAAGAAGAATATCCACCGAGATATTGCTTTGATATGCTCGTTCCCCTTCAGTTGGGTTTAAACTTCACTAAGCATGGAGAAATGTTTCTAATCCAGCTTTAGTGATATAAATCCATTTAAGCGTGGATTCTAGTTTGTGAGAGATTTGTAGAAATGTTAGAAATATGTAAGTGATTTGAGGGGATGGGGAAGGGGCATCCAACAAGACTGAATGAAAAGGGGCTAAGAAGCAAGAACCAGGGGTTGGGGGTAGGTGTGACTGGTTATAGGAACACAGCATACCTTCTACTCAATGCAGGATGAGCCAAAATGTCAGACTTAGTAGGGGATCCTTGTGCTCTGGGAAGAGTGATTGTTGACCTGAAAAATCATTGTCAGATATGACCCTGTTTCATTTGTGAGGATTTATTTACTTATTTTTTTATATTTATTTGTCTTTGAGACAGGGTTTCTCTGTATAGCTCTGGCTGTCTTAGAACTCACTCTGTAGAACAGGCTGTCCTCAAACTCACAGAGGTGTGCCTGCCTCTGCCTCTGGAGAGCCAGGATTAAAGGCATGTGCCACCATGGCCCGACTACTGATTTAATTTTTGAAACAGGGACTTATTATGTAGTTGTATCTGGCCTGGAACTCCTTATATAGACCAGACGGTCCTCAAACTCACTTGTTTCTGCTTCCCGGGTGCTGGATTAAAGGCACCCCTGTACTTGCCCAGATTGGAGAATAATTGGCAGTCTCCCCCATTCTGTGAGTCATGACTATCCCTAGATTTGTGCATAAAATTTCTGAGGTGCAGAGAACCCACTGAAATCCCCCTGCAACCTGGATATAAGCTTCTCATGTGGAACCAGGTTGTGTTGTTAATTTATTCACAACTGGGCACCAAGACTGGTGCTGGACCTATTTCTCTTTAGAAATACAGTTTTAAGCCGGGCAGTGATGGTGCATGCCTTTAATCCCAGCACTCAGGAGGCAGAGGCAGGTGGATCTCTGTGAGTTTGAAGTCAGCCTGGTCTACAAAGCTACACAGAGAAACCCTGTCTCGAAAAATCAATCAATTGGTCAGTCAAAGAATTACAGTTTTGTTGGTTTGGTTTGATTTTAAAGTTATATTTATTTGAGTATGATTTACATTCCATGAAGTTTACCATTTTGAGTGTAATAGATGGCAGATTTTATAGTATACTTAGTAACCAGTAGCATCTACTTATTCTTGAGCCTGAGATGTTTAAGTAAGCTAGGTGGTGGTGGCGCATGCCTTTAACCCCAGTGCTTAGGAGGCAGAGGTAGGTGGATCTCTGGGAATTTGAGACCAGCCTGGTCTACAAAGCAATTTCCAAGACAGCCGGGGCTACACAGAGACAAAGATCCCTGTCTTAAAAAACAAAAACAAAAACAAACAAACATAAAACAAAAGCAAAACAGTTTAAGTGTATAAGAAGTTCTGTTTTGAATGTGTTAAACCTGATATAAATAATATGCAGTGAACTTATGATATACATTCCCTAAACTTCAAATTTTACTCATGCATTCTCATGTGTGCATTTGTGTGTGTCCATTCTGTATGCACGCATGTGTGTATGTGTATATCATACAACGTGCTCAGATGGAAGTCTTGACTCCCTTGCCAGCAGAGCCCTTGGAGAGCTTTGGCTCCGCTGGCGTACTTACTGTTAGGCTTTCCCCTCTCTGTCTTCAGGCCACGGGACTTAGATCTGTCTCTGGAGTAATAGAGTTGAGGTGGCAGAGGTGAAACTGAAAGCTAATATATTTAATTACCGAGCAAATTGCTTTTAGGAAGAACTAAGGATGATTAAGTAAACATATTAAACAGGTAATTATCCCTTACTGCCTGCTCCCGTCCTCCACAACCATTCCTGTACCTCAGCCCTCAGCCTGTTCACGTTACAGCTCCACAGTGGGTTGGAGGCCAGCCCCACTTATGTGAGAGCCTGTCTCACACGAAAGGAAATCATCCTCTTAATGAGTTAGGAGTCAGCCTTCCAGGAGGATAGCCCCTTCCCAGGTGACCAGCCAGCAGAAGCATGAAAAGTGCACAGAGGTGAGGTAGCCTTTGCAGGACACGCTTATGAAGGAAGAATCATGAAGCCGGGAATCACCTTTAAATGCCTCTTAACAGTTTACTGCATCCTGGGCCCAAAGAGCACCTTCAGGGACTACTTACTGCCTTTTATATGTTGGCAATTAAATTAATAAGCCATTGCTGTAAATACATAGAAACTGATTTACTTAACATTTGTGGGGGGCACCCTTGGAAGCTGAGAGCAGCTGAAGTTGGCTTATATGATGAGGTGCAGCCATGGTTCTTGTTATAATGCTACTGTTCTAATAGCTTCTCTGTCAGAATAACCTATAGCTCAGGAGGGAGAAGAGAGGAAAACAGCGTTGTATTTACATTTTCCACTCTTGTTTCGATCTAGAGATGCTCACACTGGCTGACACTTTTCCTAAGCGCCTGCATGCTGGCAGCTACTTCAAGTGTGCCTTTTTTCAGTTGCTCTGTGTATGTGTGTGCGCGCGCGCGCACCTTGAGCTGATCTGTCTTGCTACAACCGGCAGTGCTAAAAACAAGGAGGGGGGGATTGTTTTTTTTTTTTTGAAAAGAATCATCTGACAGATAAAACTATTTAATGTAGGCTTTTCTTATGACTTTGAGTCTGTGGAGGAAGTAAGATGTATGATGCATTTGTGTATGAGAAGTGACGTGCACCCTGCCTTCCGCCTCGAGAGTGGGGTGTGCTGAGGGCTGAAAGCCGGGAACAGGCATGGGCAGGCAGAGGCAACAGAGAGGATCAGTGGAATGACCCTTGTGGTTCTGGAGTGCAAAGCTCCCCCGGGTAACTCTTTGACTCTTGTTTGTCATGATTACTTGTGATTGAGAACGTGTATTCCTGCCCTGGTTAATAACGTGGGAAACTCGAAACTTACGATCTTCTCTTCCCCTCCTGCTAGGTGCTGGATAGTTTACTAGTCCAGTATGGAGTGGTGGAGAGCTGTGAGCAAGGTACCTGTCTTCCCAATCGCTTTCAAATTCATGGAAGGAAGGAAAAGCAGACGGAAAACTAACCCATTCTCTTTCTCTCTTCCCTAGTGAACACGGACTCGGAAACCGCAGTTGTAAATGTAACCTACTCCAGTAAGGACCAAGCTAGACAGTAAGCAGTCGGAAGCTCCTTGTATGTCTGTAACAACTAGGTTGGGTACAGTCACTTACATCGTGTGCTCTTTTAAATTGACAAAGGGCTGGTGGGCCACGAAAGGAAGCTGTTTTGTGTGTTTTACTCTGCAGTTACACCTTTTAAAATGTGTATGACTAGTGGGAATCTGCACAGATTTAAGGCTTGTTTCACTTTTAATTTAATACCATTTGCAGAGTGACGTATGGAGACAAAACTACACCCTATTTGCAAAAAGCCTTGGGCCTGAATATTTTTCCAGATCATGTAATTTGCCTCCCTAACTCTCCTTTGGCGCGTTAGCACTCCTTTCGTCTGCCGCGGGTGAGTGGACTGGCAGTTAAACTAACAGCGCTTCAGTCTTGGCATTTCCCCCCTGACGTCAGTCACATACCGAGCTCACCAAGAGTGAGCAGACATTGAAGCAGTGCACCTTGCCGCTAACCGCTTTTCAGTCCAAACCATGATAGTTTTGTAGGCACTGGGAGAGGGAATAAGGAACCCACAGGAACTGCCTTACATGGCTCTGCCTAGGACATGAAAGCAACCCAGCAGCCAGCGCTGGGGCTGGAAGTCTCACCTCCCTCCAGACAGGTGGCAGGAACCAACGGACTGGTCTTCCCCGTGGGAGAGTTGCCAGGACCACTTCCACCGTCCTAAGTCCTAAAAGGGAGATGGGAAGTGATCTTTAACAGTGAGGATTCAGGTTGAACTTGGGGGACAGCCTCTGCATGGAGGGGAGGAGCCCCAATGAAGCACATCTATACTGCCTACCTGTACTAGGAGATTTCTTTTTTTTTTTTTTTTTTTTTTTTTTTTTTGGTTTTTTCGAGACAGGGTTTCTCTGTGGCTTTGGAGGCTGTCCTGGAACTCGCTTGGTAGTCCAGCCTGGTCTCGAACTCACAGAGATCCGCCTGCCTCTGCCTCCCGAGTGCTGGGATTAAAGGCGTGCGCCACCAACGCCCGGCACTAGGAGACTTCTGGCAGCCCACGGGAGCCCTGTTGCTGGCACAGTCTAGCCAGTTGGTCCTCAGATGAAGAAAGAGATTTTTAAAAGACCCCTGCCAAGTGGGCAGCTTGATGGCCCCAGAGCAAGTATCCCGGGACTGGCTATCCACTGAAACTTAGCAGGCAGATTGCCTCTAGACTTAGGGGGATGAACTTTGTATCAGAACTAAACATTGTTCAGCCAGGGGGAAGCTGATCAGAGACAGAGTCTTCAGGGTCACAGACTCAGGTTCCAGAATATCTACCAGCTGCCAGGAAGGACTTGAGGGGGCAGGACCAGCCATTTCCAGTCAGCTGGTGAAAGACCTGAAACATAGCCATCCAGGTGGGTGACTACCGTTTGTCCCCCAGCCTTACCCAGAATAACAGGAAAATGACGCTTGGCAAGGATCTGCTGGGAGCAAGAACAGCCTTCACAGCCCACCCACTCCCTGAAGGACTTGCCCAGAGCTGTGATTTGACCAATAGAGGCCCATCCGTGCTGGCAGCAGTACCTGTGACCTGAGCTTGCAAAGATCTGCCCAGAAGTGTGAAAGGCACCTGGGAGCTGGGGAAGGAGCACAGAAACACTGGAGCACCAGAGGAGACTATGCTCGGACTCGCCCTCATCACACGCTCCCCCTGACATTGGCTGCTCCTTCGTTACTGCTCCTGTTAGTTTAGCCAGCTCTGTCCTGCTCTGTTATCTTCTTTGCACTTTTCTCTTCCATTTTCCTTCTTCTTCTTCTTCTCCATTTCTCTATTATTTTCTTTTTCCTCTTCCTTTTGACAGCCATTTCCAAAGAAGGCATGCAGCATGGTTTGTAGCGCCTCTGTGTCTCAGGGTCCTGAGAGCTGGGACTTTCCCCAGGTTGTCTGGTGTGTTATATTTCTGTCTTTTTTTGTGTGTTTTGTTTTTTGGATTTTTTTTTTTTGGTTGTTATTGTTTTGTTTTTTTGAGACAGATTTTCTCTGTAGGTTTGGAGGCTGTCCTGGAACTCACTCTGTAGATCAGGCTGGCCTTGAACTCACAGAGATCCTCCTGCCTCTGCCTCCCCGGTGTTGGAATTAAAGGTGTGCGCCACTGCCATTCAGCAATTACATTTCTTTGGCACTCTTTTCGTTATTACTTTAGTCAAAACTGCCCCAAGTTTTCCTTTCTATTTACTTTTCATACTGCCCCATCAGATGGAAAGAAGTAATTAAGATTAGGGCAGAAATTAATGAGATGGAACTGAAAAAATAATACAAAGTATCAAAACATAGTTGGTTCTTTGTAAAGATAAACAAAGTTGACAGATCCTTAGCCAAACTAAGAAAAAGAGAGAAAACTCAGATTAACTTACTTGAAAAGGGTACATTACAACAGATACCACTGAAATTCAGAAAACCATTAGAATTTATCTTTAAAAAGATGTATTCTAGTAAATTGGAAGATGTAAAAGAAACGAACAATGTTTAGATGCTTGTGACCTAACAAAATTAAGCTAAGACAGCATAAAAAATTTAAGTAGATCTGTAATAAGCAGTGCGATTGAAACACTAATAAGAAGAAAGTACCCAGCTAAAAATAGTTCAGGCTCAGATGGATCTGTGCTAGATTCTGCCAGCTATTTGAGGAACACCAATACTCCTCAAACCAGTCCATAAACTAGAAAATACAGGAAAATTGCCAAACTCTTTATCAAGCCAGTACTAACTGTATACCAAAACTAGATAAAGAGACAACAGAAAGAGGAAGTTATAGGCAGTTCCTCCTGATGAACGTAGATGTAGAATTTCTCAATAGAGTACTTGGCAAATTAATTAGGTGATGCATCAGAGAGATATTTCACCAGATGTGTCAATGCTTCAGCATGTACAAGTCAGTAATTCTATGCATCAATAGCCTCAGAGACAGAAGTCACTAAACAGCTTCCATGCCTGCAGAAAAGGCTTTTTTACTAGGGTTCAGCCTCAGCTCGGGCTCAGGCTGTGCGACGGGAAGAGTATCAGCACACACTCTGACCACCAGGTAGGTGGATTGCACTCAAGTGGCCCCAATAGCTCCAGCCATTTTTATTTATACTTTAACAGAGTTTTTTGTTTGTTTGTTTAGTTTTGTTTGGATTGGTTTGGTTTTGCAAGGCTTACATTAACAGTTTTTATTATTGGCATCTGCTTTTGACTTTTAAGGAATACATAATAATCATTATAAAAGCCCCTATTGTTCCCACTGATGTATCCCCAAATACACTTTCCCACCCCCTGCAAGACCTTATTCTAGACAAAAGGGTTCAGCATTTTTGCAGGCTCAACTAAACATGGAGCTAGACACATCCTGCTCTCCAGCACTTATGTTAGCTGGTATAGCTACTTAGGGTTACAAAGTTAAAAAGTAATAAACATGGGCACAATGCTTTAAGGACAACAGTATTCAAGCCCGGACAATTCTTTCATGTCTGCAAAATACGCTTTTATATAGCTCCCTTTTCCACAAGAGAGTCCCATGTCTCAGTATGTCTATAAAAGGCAGACTCTTCTCCCATTACACCATATCATCCTCTCACCAATGTAAGCTCCTGTGTATGCTAAAGATGGATGTATCCATCCTACAGTTTGCATTGCATTTTCCCCTCTTAGAGCATACTAGACCCTACCATTGATTCTGTATGCTTGCTGTCCAGGCAACTTACTCTCAGCAGTTGCTATTATGTGAGTTCCTGGGGCTTTTCCCTGTTCTGTGTATGCATGCCTTACTCTCCTTCCCAGAACTGGGATCTACGATACAATGAAAGAGAAAACAGCCTGCAAGCCACACGAATTCAGCCAGGTCCTGTACTGCCTTATGTCCACCGGTTCTTGCCAAGTGAGAGACCATCTCCACGGACCTTGCCTTGCAGAGATCCGTAGGACAGGCGTTTATACACTGATTTGAGACTACGCTGTACAGCTCTCAACAACTCAGGCTGTCCTGGACCTGTCTCCCATGTGCTGGGATTAAAGGCATGTGCCACTACCACCCGACTCAGAAGAGGCTTTTGACAGACATCCACCATCTCTTCATGAGAAAATCCCTAAGGACACCAGGACTAAAAGGAATAATGAAGGATGTTATGGCAAACCTGTAACCACTATCAGATTAAATGGAGAAAACCTCAAAGCATTTCCACTAAAATCAAGACCAAGACCTCTTTCCTCTCCACTCTTATGCAATATGTGCTTCAAGTCTTTACTAGAGCACTCAAACCAGAGTGAAGCAGGAAGGTCACTAATCATAAAGGAAGTCCTACCATCCTCACTGGCAAGTGTTGTTTTTCTAAATGCTGAAGGCTCCTCCAGAAAACCCTTAAAGCAAAAGTGTCAGGATACAAGTTAACAAAAAAATCAGTAGCCTTCTGATATACTAATGACAGACTCAGGGCAATAATCCCATCTACAAGCCAATAAATACATAAGTAATAAATGAGTTACTTTTGAATAAGCCTAACCAAGGAAGCGAAACTAGAATCTTCTACAATGTAAAATTTAAAGTTTTGAAGACACTAGAAGATGGATAGACTACACATGTGGATGGGCTGGATGAGTTAATATTGTGAAACTAGTTATGCTCCCAAAAGAAATCTCCAAATTTAATGCAGTCCATGTCATAACATAAGGAACTACAAAAGACCCCTCACAAGTAATCCTGAACACAGAATAATGCTAGAGGTATCACTATACCTGATAGGCATGGGCAGGACTCTCTGAATAGGGAAACAGTTTTAGCAGTTAACAAATGGGAACCTCGTGAGACATAAAACCTTCACAATGGTGAAGGTAATAATTAATCAAGTGAAGAGACAGCCTACCAAAGGGTACACAATCTTTGTTGGCCATACGATTGACAAAGGGATTAACATCTAGAATATACAACAGAATAAATGACTGAAGAAGAAACCAGACAACCCAGTCAACAAATGACCCAATAAAATGGGCTATTCTCAAAAGATAACCAATAAACATGGGGAAAA